TCTAGGATTCCATCATTGACTATGGACAAAAGACTCTCCAGGAACCTTCCAGAGTTTTGGCGCCAGATTGGGACAACTGAGGCGCCCTGCTTTGTGCACTGAACAACTAGGGAATTGCTGGCCTCTCCCGTGTGGGGCAGCCCTGGGGGACTACAATGACTGCTGCGCATCCAGCCACAAGGACCAAGGTTATCATCCGTTCTGACGTGAGACAACTGTTTTTACTATTTCAACGTAAAATCATTTAATAAAGCATTTAATGTGTATCTATTCATCTTATTAGTTCTGTTCCTGATTAAAAGGTGAGATAAACAAAGGAAGTTAAAGATTCCTGATATACCTCTTTCTTGGTGAAGTACTTAAAAGCGCAGAATTTGTTTCCAAAATCCCTGGATTTCCAATCTGCCTCTTGTATCCTGTAGAATCATGACTGAGTGATATACATTTAAATTTCAGTTTGTAATTCATAAAATATGGTGGATAAGTATAATACCTGTCTCAGTATATATTATATTATGAAGATTAAAAATTTGCATTTTATAGAGTTTAGTATATGCTGGGCCTTCCTTTGTACTGTCCCCACCCCAAGCCCATAATGAGTTAGCAAGGGTTATCAGTCTGTTGTAACATTAAGGGAAGAATGTTGAGAGCAGCCTGAAATCCATAGATCTGACATCCTACCTACTGACAGGACTGAATGAAAATCAATATTGTAAAATTTTCACAAAGATATACATTTTTATGTAAAAGGTCATTGAGAAACAAATTCCATTGTCTCCATTGGTTTTTTAAATTCCTCCAATGAGCAGGTTCCAGGAATCTAAACAAGAATCCATTTCTCCTTATTATTGTAGAGTAAGGATAATAGATATCAGATGGAATAGCCTCAAATATTCAAATGAGTATGCAAAGTAGATTAGGTGTTGGATATAAAGTTGTTGTTTTTTTTTTCTGACATTAGGAAAATGAAACACAGATTTATGTCAAACACTGAGTGTTTGACTATTTCTAGAGGGGGAGAATTTGCTCTACACCCCTTACTAATGGTCATGCTCATTGATACACTTGAGGCAAGGGCATTTTTATTGCTGTCTTTGTGGTCACGGATCTCTCTCTCTCTCTCTCTCTCTCTCTCTCTCTCTCTCTTGTTTTTATTACATCTGAAATGAATTGGAATCAGAGTTAAAACACAGAAACTAGGCACACAAGACATGACACTATCTTCAGAAGCAATAATGAAAGGGAGGAAATCCTCGGACATGAAGAACCTATTTTGTATTTCAAGGACTATGATGATACTATGTGACTGTAAATTTTAATTGTAACGCTATTGAGAGATAACTAATGTTTAGGATGAAATTGAGATCCAGTTAAGCCAAATAGCTGAATTATATGCATTTTAAGTTTCTGAAGTTACTCCATTATCCTCAGAGAAATACTTTTATGTAAATGAACTCATGATTACATTTGAAAATATCTTTATAGAGCATATCTACAATTCTCAACCTTGGGGCTATTGGCTTATTCATGCAGATAATTATTTGTCACTTGAATTGTAAGGCGTCAAGCAACCATTGCTGAATGCCAGTAGATCCTACCAGTTAATGCGGGCAGACAAAATTATCTTTAACAGAGATCCATTGTTATAAATCATAAGAGTAAAATAAATGAAAGGAGACACGACATCTGAGCTTGCTTTTACCCCTGTCTTCTGCAAATGGCAGATATTTTTGTGCGATTGTTAAATATTGACCTTGGATTAGCTAACGAGAAGGAAGGTTTAAGTACTGATCTTTCATAATATTTAATGATATCAACAGAGCACCACTTGTGCAAACAAACATTACTGAACGCATGAGTATACCAACTCAAATGAATCAATGCTTCATAGACATTAAATTATTTAGTCTTACATCATCACTCCATGAAGGATATATCATCACCCAGTGTTAGTGATGACAATGAAAAATACAGAGGTCAGTTTAATTGACCACAGTAGAAAGCTACTAAGTGAATTAGATCACCAAGTCTCATGAAGAATCTGCCTCAGCTGTCCAGTATGGAAACCACTGCACAAGTCACTAACCTTCAAAAATCATGGACTGAAAATGTAGTGAGTCTAAATTGAGATTTAATAAAAGTGGAATCCAATTCAAATTAAGAGTTAGAGTGGAAATAATTTTACACATTTGAGTAAGTTTTATATTGATTCTATACTTTAAAGGTAATATTGGACTAAAGAAGATAGTGTAATGAAAACAAAAATCTCTTTACATTTTTAAATTTTGCTAATAGAAAACATTAGATTATTATGTGGTACATAATTTTGGCTTCCATTTATTTCTATTAGATTGTATTTTTTTCCTTTTCCTGTTTTATACATTGGGAACAACAACAACAACAATAATAGGTCAATTGTGGGGTTTCAATGATATGTTGTATATGAAAGTGTTCACAAACAGTAGGATGCTCTCTGCATTGTGAACATCTTATCAAATGGCATTAGATATTAAAAGTTAGTTTTCTATATGCTGCTTGGCATACACTATACAAATGGTATTAATTTGCCATGTTTGAGTGGCCCCAACAGGAAGATACATTGCAAATATTTGAAATATAAAGGGTAGCTGAGAACATAACAATCATAAATTATGTATTTATTTATAATCTAAAATGACAAGGTAAGTTATAGGATGAGTTAAAAGTCCTAAAAATCTGTTGTGCTGTACACCTTGAGTTGACACTAATGTCAATATATCTCTATCACTTCTAATTGTATGGTGCTACTGTGTCTTCAACCTTTGCTCATTTGCTAAGTGGAGGTCATAATATTGAGTTCTTATGATTCAATAAATGAGGCCAGTAAATAACCTTTCATGGAGTCTAGTAAAAATTCTATTCAAGGAAGTAAATGTATGTTGATTTCTCTACTTTTATCTAGCATCATGACAATTATTGTTACCACAGTACTATGTCAAAATTTATATAATGAACCTAACAGATGGCAAAAATAAATTTCAAGTAAATAAAGGAAAATACATATTTATTTAATGAAGTACTTATAAGTAAAGAAAATAACTGACGTTATTTTAAATGTCCATTTTTCTATAGAGTTATATTCTATCAGTTTATTTAACGTGCTACTCAAAATTGATTTCATTTAAGATTCCAGAGAACATACAATATGCTACTCTTCCAAAAAGACATTTGTTATTGATAAAATGTTTTTTGTAGTATTGATTTAGTTCATTGTGGATTCGGAAGTTAATTAGAAATGCTTTCTTGGCCTCACTTTTCATATTTATTCTTTTGGTAGCGAACTCAAGATGAGAAATGGACAGCAATACCTATGAAATCTGAAGTTTAAATTTCACATTGTGTTAAATTGTGTCCCTGAGTCAATCTTATTCCAAAGCAATATTAAAGATTACTGTTATCTTCTACTTCCCTGATGATTGACACAGATGACTATCTAAAAAAGTGTGCAACTGGATGGATGCCAATGGTTAGGCTGCTAAAATATTCGACTTAATAATCATCCCACATACATAATTTTATATAAATTAATCCAAATCATGCACTGCTAGCAAGAAAATTTAGATGAATAACACAGAAATAAGTAAAATGCTTCTAAAGATTGAGCAATACAGTAGAAGATTGCAATTCATTGATTAATGGTCTTGTATGAAGTTATAAATATCAAAAAATCCTGCTGCAGTGTATGTTTTATCAGTAAAATATTTAAACATAAGGAAAATTTAAGATTAGTGATGAGCATTAAAGTAATATCCAGGAATTGATGAAAATCATGAAGAGTTATGATACTAGAATGTGCTTTTTATTACAACTCTAACTTCTGTCCTGAAGAGAAACAGTTCTATTCTGTCTTGTGAAACAGAAGAAACAGGTCAAGTCTTGAGAGTTCGCTAGGCCTCAGTGCTCTTCTGTGTCGGAAAATTTAAGATTAGTGATGAACATTAAAGTAATATCCAGGAATTGATGAAAATCATGAAGAGTTATGATACTAGAATGTGCTTTTTATTACAACTCTAACTTCTGTCCTGAAGAGAAACAGTTCTATTCTGTCTTGTGAAACAGAAGAAACAGGTCAAGTCTTGAGAGTTCGCTAGGCCTCAGTGCTCTTCTGTGTCATGTAGCAGACATGTAGTCTACATGTCTACCAAGTTTGTATAAGGATATAAAAACATGTATTATGTAGTATTATATCATCAGAAGCTAATGACTATTAACCTTAATCAAATTGGAAATTTGGAGAGTTAATTAAAATATATTTATCTGTGTGTAGACCAGGGATAATAAGTGCTTTACAATGAATGTGTTTCCACACAGTGATAAAATGTGTAAGCCACACTGTTTTTGTAAAGGTCTCCAATGGAGTCCTTTATAACAGAGTCCTTATGAGCTGTTTCTTCTAGGTGGAGAAAAAAATGTACATTATAATCATGACTTTTGGAGCTGGAGAGATGGCTCAGTGGTTAAGAACACTGGCTGTTCTTGCAGAACACCTGGGTTCAAGTCCCAGCAACCACATGGCAGCTGACAACTGTCTATGACTCCAGTTCCAGCGGTTCCCATCCTCTTCTGTCCTCTATGGGCATTGCATGATGCAGGTGCACTAGCATATATGCAGGCAATACATGCATAGACATAAGATAAAAATAATACATAAAAATTTATAGACTCATGATTTTCTTCATGTAAATTATGACTTGATTCACATAAGCCTTTTGCTGAATAAACAGTTCTCAAATAATGGTTACACATGTCTTTTGTGTGTGTGTATGTATGGAGAAAGAGAGAAGAGAGAAAGAGTTTCGGGATTCATAGTTTCTTACATAGTATGAAAATTTTAATTTTCTTTGTTACTGCAAGTTTGGTAGTAAATTCTAAATGGGTTTTTTAAATTAGATAATAGGCAATTTCTTATGTCTGCCTTTTAAGTCTCTTACTGTACAGAATGACCATTAAAAGGCACTTACTCTGAGGGAAGCGAGGTGGATTGTCATTGACATCTGTCAGCGTGATGTTCACAGTGGTGGTTCCAGATAAGCCTCCCATCTGGCCACCCATATCTTTGGCTTGGATGACCACCTGGTACTGCTCCCTATTCTCTCTGTTCATGTTTGGCAAAGCTGTCCTGATGATACCTTCAAGAAAATACAAAAACTTTTGTCATTCTTGATGGACTACAACTTATTATTTAATTAAATGTGATTTTTAGTGACATCAAAAGATATAGCAATTAACTCATTTTCTAATAATTGGACATTGATTCCATCTAAATCTTTAAAGAATTGTGTTATTTTCTAGTAACAGCATATACAGTAATGAGTGATCTAAACACATGTGTCAAGCACAAAACAGTTATATTTACATTAGTTGACTCAATTATTTAACTTTTTGAAGCAAGGTCTCCCCATAGCTCCAGCTGGTCTGGCACTTTCTATGTAGACCAGGGTGGTCTTGATCTCCCAGAAATCTGCCTGCTTCTGCCTCCATAGTGCTGGGACAAAAGGCATGCACCCTCATACCTGGCAACTTTAACTTTTTAAAATGCACAAGAGTGATCTGAGTTGATGACTGAGTCAGTAAAGTGTCTGCTATATAAGCCTGAAGACCCAAGTTCAATCCCCAGCACCCAAATGAAAGTCAGGCATAGAAGCAGCCACCAGAAATTCAGCACTGATGACACAGAGACAGGAGGATCTCTGAGACTTGCTGACCTCGTAGGCTAGCCAAATTCCTAAACTGCAGATTCAACGAGACCTTATCTAAAAACTAACATGTAGATCTTATGAAAAGTATATATGATATTGGACTCCAGCATCCATACACTCCTGCAAAGATGCGCACATTCACATGAACCCACACCAACACACAGCACACACACAAAATAAACCCAAAGTAAACACACCAGGATGGCATTGTCACTTGTCTGTGTGTGCTGAATTCTATGTTTTATTTCCCAGATCTCCTGTTTTAAAGATCATAAACACGATGACATTAGCAAACACTGTCTCATTGTTCCTGACCTGTTTCTGGCTCCACGGAGAAATAGGGCTGCCCTTGAAGTATGCTGTAAATGACTCTGGCACTGTTCCCATATGAAGGGTCGTCAGCATCTGTAGCTGTGACTTGCACGACCGAAGTACCTGAAGTATCCAAATTCAGCTTAGTTCTGCACAGTACCAGAAGGAGGAGCAAAAGTACTGGTTTTCACTGAACACTTGAATGCTTTTTTGGCTTTAAAAATGACCACTTTTTGAAAGTGTAATATATTCTTTGGATTAAAAAAATCATTTTATAGATATAGAGATGTGGATGGGGGTATAAAGCGTTGTTCCAAATAGATCCCAAGTTCAACTTAATAACATTTATTTAACCAAGAGTGTGTGTTTACGAAGGAATTATATAATACTATAATATCTCAGAATATAACAAATATGGTCACTCAAAAATTTGGGGGTTTGAAATTTAAATTTATTTTCATGTAATAGATGTGCTTTATGTAAAGGGCACATCTAAATCACAAAGGAGTAAGTATATTCATCTTTCCCTCTCTGAACTAATTAACTCTAAAAATAATTAACATTTGCTCCAGAATACAATTTTATGAATAGATTAAATTCCAAATTTAGAAACAATACAAAATGATCCGAAGTTCCTAGAGCTTCTGAAGTCTAATAGAGTTCACGATATTTATAAGGCTTTATGGTAGGTGACTGCCAAAAGTCCTTGGGATTTAATAAATAAAATATAAAGTAATAATCCCAGAACAAATCTCTTGAGGGACATATAAGTTGAAAAACTGCTATTAAAATTGATAAAGTTTAAAGATTTATCAAAATTAATTAGTTTACACAGATTCACACACATTTAAGAAGCTTTCATTTTGTACTGAATTCA